AGTAATTAATTCGGACGCGATGTCTGAACTCATGGTTCCTGTAATCAGGGTGTCAGCACAAGCATAAAATTAAATGTGGATAATCTTGAAGAAAGCCGTTTTCTGGGATTTGGCGCCGTGTAGATATTGTGTTAACCGACGTTTCGGTGGAACGTATCGACTCCATCTTCAGGGTAGAAGAAAAAAAATCCGCGAGCGAGGAACCAGCGTGAGCAGGTGCTGACAGACTTAGTCTGCTGAGAAGTGGCGCCGTGTAGATATTGTGTTAACCGACGTTTCGGTGGAACGTATCGACTCCATCTTCAGGGTAGAAGAAAAAAGAAAATCCGGAAGCGAGTAACTAGCATGAGCACAAGCATAAAACTAAACATGGATAATCTTACTACGCGCACACACGCACACACGAGTGGTCTTGTTTCATGTGCGACGTGTTGTACATGTAGGCGTACCTGTCAGGGGTCAACAATGCACTCTGTTTTCTAGCGAATCTTGTGTTGGAACACTAGATTATAGATGGATGATGGTAGGAGCATTCGGGCTGTAAGGCTTCTGATGGTGACACACATCGATTCTTGCTGTGTAACCACTAAAATGAAATTACTATGACCGAAGTTGCACAGCGGTGGTTATGAAGAGCTCTTTTGCCTGGGATACAACGCCGAGTGCTGCGTTTGCTGTCAGCGGATCGGCATGTCCCAGAAGACAGAACTCTTCATATTCACTCCGAGGATTAATGAAATTTATCAAATTCATTCATGACATCCGGTCCGACTGTCTCATGAGGCAGACAATTAGCAGTAGAATCCGAGTGGGCGAGGCGAAAAATGTCAGTTTTACCACAGGAAAACTTTATAACCATACTCAAGAAATATGAGTAATGTGACGCTGCAAACAAAAATATTACAGTATGGGAAACCCTGTTCCTGCCTCGTTCGTATTTATCACTGTCAGGAATATGTAAATTTTACCTAATGCGGTGGCCTTGACTGGAGTAACAAAACATGGTGCCAAGATCTCTCTTACTGCAAAACTGGTAGTGTGGTTTATTTTTATGTACCCTCGCATGAAACCTTTTTCTTGAAATTCAGACTCCAAATTTAGGGGAGGTATCAACAAAAAATAAGGCATGACTTTCTCACTATATTCTGAAATAAAATTGCGGTCCAGAAACCTGATACTGTCACAGTTGTATGGGAATAACGTATCTCGGCTGCTTCTGAATTATGCCATCAGAATATGCCGAGACAAAGCTGGAAATAAACTCGTACACAAGGGACGTGAATATGTTAATGAGGTTAGTTTATGGGAACATAAAGAACACACATTAAAAGTCAGAAAACTCGTAGTTCTAAAAACAAATTCATAAAAACTGAACATACGAATATCAAGACAGAAATACCAACCATAACCTCGGTTGCTAACAAATCATATCGTATGTAAATATATTGAAATTAAGTGCAGAATAAATTCTGGCCTTGTCAGTAATTATTTTCGATTATTCCACCTCCTCGGCTATCGTCGTAAAAAAGAAGATTAAAATACACGCGAAACTATAATTTTACTTTTTGTTTTTGTGGTGTGACATTGTTAATAAACGCGTTTTCTTATAGCAACGGCTGGCGAGCGAGCATGCTGACATTAATCACTGTGTGATAAAACCTCGGTTGCATACACAGAATGGAAGCTCAGTGTTCATATTGTTATTTGTTTTAATAGAAGATATTCTGATCTTCATACAACATCATCGAGTGCGACCAGTTCTATTTAATTGCATTAAAACCTTTACATGCCTGTCACGGTAGCCGAGCGATCTAAGGCATGTACTGTCTTCGTTCGCTCGGAAGCCGGGATCGTGGGCTCGAATCCCATACAAGGCATGGATGTTTGGTGTTTGTGTGCGTTTTTCAGTGTTTGTGTACAGATAGAGGCCTTGCGACGAGCTGATCACCCGCCCAAGGACCGTACCGAATTTAAGATCTAGCAAACCGAAGTGAAACGGAGAGCTTTATGGAGGTAGGCCAAGGCCAAAATTGGGGCTGTAGCGCCAAAGGAGGTGAACAACAGAACCTTTACATGTTTCGTTCTTAAATATACCATCATCATAAGGTGCTCAGCACTCGAAGAAGCGCTTTATAGTTATAAAGGTCAGCTGTTCACCGTTTCTACCCTCGTGCAGTTAATTAATTACATTTATAATTACAGTAAACACGAAGGTTATTCAGCACCCAAGTGTTAAAATGTGCAGGTCTTAATGTATAAAAATGTTTTGATTGTGTATGTTTTTGAACATTTCAGTTGCTTAAAAATTACTTATATGATGTACTTAGATAAGACGGTTCTCCGCAAAAAAATTTTAAGTATCTGAAATGTTTAAAACCATACACAACCACAGACAGTAACCTTAAACTAATGCTTAGCTTGTAACATAAAAACATACCTCTGAAGATGACACAGTAGATGTCGAAACGTGTCGGATAAAGAATCTGAATGTTGTAATTGACGGTGTATGATAAACGATAATAAATAAACGTACAGGCTGCGAACTGAATTCTATGAAGCATATTCGCTAAAGAAAGGAAAACATAAAGAATGAGAAATGGATAAGGAAAGGGTGGCATGGAGGAACACGTTTCACTAGAGAAACTTTAACTAGTCCATATAGTACTTAATTAGAGTGATAATTGTCGTCTTAACATCGGAAGCTGTAATGTTGTAGTATGTATCTGCAGCGAATATTTTAATGTCAAATGTGTGTTTGATGATCAGCTAAGTTTATTTAGGTCTTTAATGAAATGTGAGTTCGAATATACAAACAGTGATAACTTGCAAATGTTAGTAGCGGCCGCCCACACAAGTTGTCATTAGCAAGTGTGGACTTTTAAGGCGCCACAGACAGACAGACAGACAGACAGACAGTGTGCCTTATGAGGAATGTTACCATTCGAACATAAGGTGAAGTTGTCCCTGTGCTTAACAAATTAAGGACTACGCCGTGAAGTAGTATGGGGGAGTGGATGTATAGATCCATTTTTCTTGACTTCGGCACTAGTTTGAGCTGAGTGGTCAGCTTCACGCCCCTGCCGGTTTACCCCCGGCGAAAGAGCCCACGGTACGCATTCGATAGGAGGCTGGGTTGGCCCCAGAGCCGATCTGGACAACGCGGAATTCTGGACCCTAACCGTTCGAACATAATGGAACTAAAACTAGCAGGACATACTCGTTTCTATACCCAAAAGACTTCGCTAGTCTGTGGCCAGCCAAGCGCCTGGTCAGGGATGGGGCCCTAAACTTGAAGACCGAGAATGCGACGATGTCCTGTCCCTGAGGGAGGCGATAGATGGAAATGGAGTGATGATTGATCGGTAATTAGGAAGGGAAAGCGATGAAGCGCGAGAGAATTTGCCGCAGTGGCACTTCGACAACCATGCGCCTTACAATAAGATTCCTGAAATTGAACCCGAGCTTCCGCGGTGAGAAACCAGCGTCCCGCCTCCTAAGCACCTTCGTATAGTGTTTCATTCCCAAAAAACGTACCATTCGTGCTTATAATTTACAGCGTGTACGCGCTAGTCATTTGTAAAAGTGTACCATACATGATTTGGCCCATAATACTGTGAATTAAATTAAGATATTCCTGAATTCGAATTAAGCACCACACCTTTCACGCTCGTAGCTCATACACATTTATTTATTTTTCTAGACAAACTTCTCTACTGGACTAGAATTTATGCCTAATTCTTTATATTGTTTTCCAAGAAATTCACATCAACATAAACAGGTACTTGTTTCTGGTGATGATGGTTTGTTTTGTTGGTGCCCGAGAATTTATACTACCAAGTTTAAGTATGAACTGAATAACTATATAGTAGCTAGCAGCTGTTGTCTGAATGCTGAACAGAGGACAGTACCACCACCGACTTCACCTATCAGCCGCGTGGGCTGTCTCTATTGCCCCCACTCCCCAACTTTACGCCACCGCACGCCCACAGGACCCTGACGTCGCGTATTCAAAACGAAGGAAGCTGATTTCCACCGGTTCTATTGCTGCAGGACCTCCCCGTGGTAATTTTATAATCACGATCCTTCGCCTGCCACAACATGTAATAATATGTTCGAACTCACTGCTTTAGTGTGTCATTTTAAGCAGATTTTTGATATGATAGCTGCACTTGTGGGCGTGTTCATATTCATTGTTCCTGGGGGCACCGCCACCGCCACTTGGCCTTGTCACGACTGCTGGTTTCGTAACATCTCGGAGGCACTCCTGCTGGCGCACCTTAGTCTTCGCCTTTTGAGATCGGGATTTTGCAAAACAAATTACAGCGCAAATTGTTTACATTACAGTAGGGCACGCCGTACACAGCTTCCCCAGGACTTCGTTTCTTCCTCAGAGGAACTAGTCCCAGAATATTTGTGTAAATTCTCCCATGTTTCTATGCTTTTCAAAAAATAATGTAAAATAATCTTATTCCCCTGCCTCCTGTTTGTCTTTGAAAGCGAATTTTGATGATCTTTGACATTTTGTGTATATGTGTGTGTGTGNGTGTGGGGGGGGGGGGGAATTGAACAATTATTGGCTATTCAGCAGATTTTGTTTCGGGAAGTTATTTTATAGCGCCTTAAGATTGCAGACTTCAAATGTACAGTGACTGAAATGGAAAGAATTTGGAACGAAGTGATTATGGTAAAGTCCAGATACTGTCCTGGCATTGGCTAGAGGGACTGACGAAAACCACAGGATAACCGGTGTTGCAGCCAGTATTCGAACCAAGCATCTGCCAAGTAGAAGCGTAGAGCGTTACCCTTACCTTTGATAATGTAGATGGTATATTAATGAATTAGTTATGGAAGGCCACGTGGAATTTAGTTTGTTGAATTCTGTGATCAGCTGCAGGGCACTGTAGTACCCTTCTGTATAATTGCATTAACAGGAATGAGCTGTACAGTTGCATGAGGATTGAGCTTCCTTATGAAAATAATTTGTTGTTGTATTGTTTCAGCCTCGGGAGAGAGGCCGCATGCGGTTCCACATGTTGCAGAATGTGCAGATTGCTCTTGATTTCTTGCGGTACAGGAAGGTGAGTCGGAGTCTACGTTTTTATTAAAGAAAGTAACGTCTACTTTTAATGTTATAAAATAAACAACTGCCTGAAGTTAGCATAAATTCTACCTTTATTTTGAAAATTGAGTTATACTGTAATATTAACATTTGTGGTGTTTATTGTGTAGTGGTAGGTTATAGAACGCTGAATTCTTTAAGCTGTGTGGTTAGTTGAAAGTGTTCATACAACAGCCAAAGGTTGACTTGTGTGTATGCGTTGTGGCATTAATGGTATTATGTTAGTGTGCATTTCTAGGTTTATTTATAGAAAATACTTAATAGGGCCATTGTAAAAACATACAAGAAGAAGTTCTGGGAAGAACTAATCCTCTGTTTCCCTTTGATATGACACACTACCAGTTTTCAGGCATTAAAGGAAGACACACAGACAAGGTGATTTCATAAGAATCGTTTTATATTTTAGCCTCCTAATGGGACCGCCTCTGTGGTCAAGTGGTCAGAGTTCCTGGCTACAGATCCAGAAATCCGGGTTCGATTCCCGGCCCTACCAGATTTTCTGAGAAGCAGTGAGTCTGGGTCCACACAGCCTCGTGAGGGTAATTGAGCTGTTTCAAGGAAATAGCGGCTCCGATGTAGAAAATCGAAATTAACAGCTGGAGGGATCCGTTGCGCTGACCACACGACACCCTCTATCTGCTAAAGTTGGCACTAACTTCACAGACAAGGGGCGGTCGCTCGGTCGGTATAGTTCGCTTGCAGACTAAAGCCACGGAGTTTGTTTTTGTTCTGGTAATTTTAATGTAAGCAGGCACACAGACAGACACACAGAGTAAGGTGATCATGCAAGCTTACTTTTATTCTTTCAAAATAAGGAAAGTAGGCAAAAATAACTTATCTTAATTCTTATACAATAATAAAATGTGCTAGTGATTATAATGAGTGAGCCAGTACATGTAAGTTCTTACAGTTATGAGTTCTGGTGAATTTCTTTTTTATTATTATTGCTAGTGGGATTGGACTAAGTCCCTTGTACTGCGGCCACTTCTGGCCTGTTGTACCAGCCCCAGATGATAGGTGAAGGTGATTGTGGAGCAGTTGATGGAATGAAGATTGGCAAGGAAAACCGAAGTACTCGGAGAAAGCCTGCCCCAGCGCAACTTTGTCCACCACAGATCCCACTTGACCAGACCCGGGATTGAAACCGGGCTGACGCTGTGGGAAGCCAGCGACTAACCGCTTGAGCTATGTATGGCATGGCCATTCTGTTGAAATTAGTTGGAACTCTTTTTTCTTAATGTTCATCAGTCTTTTCACAGACTTACTAGAGCGTTTTACATTCCTTTAGTTTTTATACTCATAATGTCATGTTTGTAACATGTACATATTTTATTGTATTGAAAACTGTTTTCTGATAATCAGAACTTACACAGGGAAAGTCTGGGCACCAGTTCCCTTCCATAGACAGAGGGGTTCAGTATTCAGATATGACAAGGCCATGGTATGAATAGGAGGCCGTTGGTGTAAGTTAACATTGTAGTTGTACTTCAAAGAGATCCTTCCTGGTTGTGAGTGGTCAGTTTCATGCATTAGCCAAAAAGTATATAATTTATTATATTAAGTGACACTTTTGATGTATATAGGCCATTGGCTGACTGGATGGGCAGACAAAGAAATGAAATTTCATAAACATGCACATAAACTTTTCATTTGCATTATAGGACTTTTGTTGTTGTCATTACTTTATGGGATAGTGTAGCCAATATAGCGACTGGCTATGGGCTGGAGTACTGAGGGGGTTGGAGTTTGAGTTCCAGTAGGGTCGACAACTTTCCCTTCTCCACATCATTCAGACCGGATCTGGGGTCCATCCAACCTCCTATCCAATTGGTACCGGGGGCTGTTTCCCTGGGGCTAAAGTGGGTGGGGTGTGAAGCTGACCACTCACCTCCAACTAGTGCTGAGGTCAAGAAAATGTGGATCTATACACCCATTCTTCCATATGCCTTCCTGCCATAGTGTTTAATTAGTTCAGCACATCGAAACCTCTACATTACTTTCCATGGCATTATTGTTCTGACATAGGCCACTTTTACTAGATTGCTGAAATTTGGCCAAGGAACATAATTTCTGTATTAGTATAATCAAGCCACCAAGCAAAAAATGTTGCACATGCATTGACGTTCTCTCAGCAGATTTTATGCTCTGATAACTGCAACAGTTTACCATTGAACCGTAAGTGGACTTTATGCTAGAGCTTATAATAAGGTAACAGTAAACTGTCAAAGGTTATTTCTCTCATTGGTAACAATGTTTTTTTACAGATAAAGTTGGTGAATATCCGAGCAGAGGACATTGTTGATGGAAACCCAAAACTGACTCTTGGTCTCATTTGGACAATCATCTTGCATTTCCAGGTAGGGTTCATCATAATTTCTTCTTTGGTACTAACTCAGCTTACCTGTGAGCCAGCTTGGAGCACGAGAGGTAGAATAGTGATTCTTACACTTCCCATATTTTCATTTTTTGTGTGTTCATTGTTGAGACAGTTGTTTGGGATGAGTAGGTGAAGTTTAGTTTCATCCCTTAATGAATCTACTCCTGGAGTATGTAGCAGGGTCATAGTTAATATACAAGTGGAGTCACAGACATTAGATGCAGTAGGCAGGCTTTGTTACATGGCACTTTTCTAGAGCTCCACAGCAAGTTAGGCTGTTTTCCCCAAAATACTGGATACAGCTTTTAATGAAACTAATGAAGTAAATGATCTGTTATTAGTGGAAATGGCAAAAGCTGATTTTATTGATTGTGATATCGATAAAGAAAATTAATATCAAGTATTTTACTCAAGAGAGAATATGCAAAATTGAATTTAAATTTTAAGCAGTTAAATGCTAAATTAACAAAAACCTCAGAACTTCTTTTGGCAAAAGAAAAAGACATGTAGTGAACCAAATGTAGCTTCACAGTACAGTATTTAAACATTTGAGGCTGAATGTTTACACAGAGTGCATAAAATCTCAATATTTTATTGCCAAAGCAATGAATGAATGCAGTTGATATTAGTATTGTTAATTAATTTTGGTTCTCGTTGGTGCAGTATAATTCAGATCATCCTTCTTCAGTTTCTTTAAAAATTACCTTTGTAATTAGGTCTTTATGGTGGGGCTTTAATTTTATTTGAGGTGTTTTATATCTGGTGAAATGCAAGGCAAAATGGCTGATGCACATTGCATTGTGTGCAGGGCAGTTATCTTTGTGTCAGTAGATCTGTATCCACAATACATTAAGATGAAAACCAGCAAGGGGTGAAAACTAGAATACATGGATTGCACTACTTGAGATTGCAGTCTTCTCTGAAGTGATGCCTTCAGATCTGGTGGGTTGTGTTCCTTTGAAACTTTGACATGTAATCTGGCAGATTACATGTCCTCACATCCCAGAAAACTTAACTAATATTGTTTAGATGGTCCTGTGAAATTCACTGCCGTGAAAGCCTAAAATCTCATAGAGTAAACTTTTCCACTTTTGTTGCATTCATTACATGTTAAAAATAGTAAAGAACATAAATTGATTATACAAACCTTTTTGTTAGATGTTGCCCATTGTTTGAGTGTATTCGATATGCATGACAATATGGAAATTGATTATGCTTCATTTTTTTAAGGCCGCACCATGGCTCAAGCGGTTAGTCGCTGGCTTCCCACCCTGGCGGCCCGGGTTCGATCCCCGGTCTGGTCAAGTGGGATTTGTGGTGGGCAACGTGGCACTGGGGCAGGTTTTCTCCGAGTACTTCAGTTTCCCCTGCCACTCTTCATTCAATCAAATTCTCCATCATAATTACCCGGGGCAGGTACAATAGGCCAATCAGTGGCTGCCCTGCCGAGTGGACCCAGTTGGACTCCCCCCCACTAAGCGAATTAAAAAAATGCTTCATTTTTCAGGTTATTTATTGTCATTGTACTGACATATTTGTTATTACTTTGTTTTTGTGTTCTAGTTCTTAGTGTACTAGCCTGATATTGAGTAGGTTCTGTGTTCAATCCCCACTCTCATCACTGACATGTAGAACAAAGTAATCACATCTCTCATCAGATGGTAACAAGTCACATGAAGAGGGAAGTAGAGCCAACATCCAATTGTCACGTGTCTCAGATAATGCACAGTCTCCAATATAGTATCTGTATAATGAGCATAACAGCATTTAGAGCATCAGCACATGAAGCAGTTTTATTCCAAACTATGAATGCTTCTTCAGATCCTGTTCAGTGTGTAATACTCCAAGTAACATTTGTGTGTTCAGATTCCGTATTTTTGAAATACCAGCACAGTTGGTATGGAGACCTCCTGAAACATGCCTGACGATATTTTATATATTGCACCCTGCAAACATCGTTTTGATGACAGACCCAATTGAAGAGGTCCACTTGAAGTCACAGACATAAATAATATTAATGCCACTTTATTTTTATAATGAAAGTTGAGTTCGTAGTTTTGCACCTCTCATGCTTTCAACTCTGGTGATAAACTAGGGCATGGTGCTGTACCTAGCTTGTTCTCTCTTATTTAATCATGCAGCACATGCATGCACAGGTAAGTATGCATTTATATAATTGTAAGTATATGTGCGGCTACAAATGAAAATTAACAAAACAGTTTTGTAAGGAACATTCATTTAATTAACAAGGGCTCCGAAAATAAGATTTCCTGTGGGGTACTTTGTCATTTGTAACTAACACATCGGGGGTATGCATTTTACAGAAGTCATGGTTACCATTCTGTCATATATTTGCTTAATAAGAAACCATCTGATATAACGTTGAGATTTAATTAATGAGTGATTGATTCTACCCTATATGTTTCAGTTGTTCATCCATCCTCAAGGTTGTCTACAAAATTCTTGAAAGGTATGAAAATTTTACACCTCATTGTCTTATAAAAGTTTCACAATTCATGACTAAAGCACTAAAATACAATAATTTGTGATCTAATGAAGGTATTAGAGAGCAGTTAACTTATTCTCTGTTGTTTACATTTTCTAGTTGTCAGTATTGTAAAGGGTGTCAAAAGGCTACTTATGGTATATTTTGTCTTTTGTGTTGTATCTCTCTGTCCTGTCCCATAGTATTATATCTTGTTGTGTTGCAAGTAGTCAGGCTAATGACACAACAGGATATATTATTAGGGTCAGTACAGTAGGATGCAATGTAATAGAATGAAATGAGGAACCTTTCAGCACAGTTCAGACTACTGGCACCTAGAGGGCGCAAACAGTAGAGAATGTGTTGTCTGCTCTTAAGCTTGCACTTGAGCTGTAAGTTACTGTATTTTAGTGTTTCATTCATGAATTGCGAACTTTCTGTATTTTTTTTAGAATGAGTAATATAACAGACAATGAACTGTAAAAGTTTTAACGCCTTTTAAAGCTTGGTAGACACTCCTGAGGATGACTGGAGAGCATAAACATGTATGGAGGAATTGATAATTGATTAAATTTTTATGTTGATGGTTTCTTATTAAAATGCTGTGGAATTTGCTACTAACTACAGGGATCCCAGATGCCTCATATATAACGAAGTTAAGGGTGCTTGAATTTACTGCATTAATATTTTGATTCAAGTTGTATGGGACACAAAAATAATCTTTTATTTTTAGTTCGCTTAGTGGGGGGTGGAGTCCAACTGGGTCCACTCGTTATGGCGCCCATTGATTGGCCTATTGTAGCCTGCCCCAGGTGATTGATTATGATGATGGAGAATTTGGTGGAATGAAGATTGGCAGGGGAAACTGAAGTACTCGGAGAAAACCTGCCCCAGCGCCACTTTGTCCACCACAAATCCCACTTGACCAGACCCGAGATCGAACCCGGGCAGCCACGATGGAAAGCCAGTGACTACCAAAAATAATCCTTCATTTTGTTATGTTATCTGCAGTTTTCTTATATGCTTCTTTGTCTCACATAATTGGAAAGGTATCTGTGTTATTTTTCATATAAGGAGTCCAGTAACATGAGAATGGAGCACTTGAATTACGAGGGCAAATCGAAAAGTCTTTGCCCCTATATTTTTTCGGCCACAATAATACACATACAGGGAAATCAAAATACAGGCAGTGTTCTAAGTGCCTTTGACTATTTTTCCACGTAATAACCACCCTGGTTCAAGCATTTGTCCCATCGCATCACTAGTTTAGAGATGCCGCTGTTGCAGGATTTGGCCGGTTGAGCGTGGTTTTCGGGTCGTCGGAAATGAACCTCTGGCCTGCCAGGATCTTCTTCAGTGGACCGAACACTTGGTGATTACCACGTGTTTAGTCCACTGAAGAAGTTTCTAACAGACCAGAGGTTAATTTCAGGTGACAACTCGAAAACTGCTGTCTGGCGGTGGTTCCGCGCTCAACCAGCCGAATTCTACAACAGCGGCATCTCCAAACTAGCGGTGCGATAGGACAAATGCGTGAACCGGGGTGGTGACTATGTGGAAAAATAGTCGAAGGTACTTAGAACACTGTATTTTCATTTCCCTGTATGTGTATTATTGTGGCTGAAAAAAAAATAGGTGCGAAGACTTTTTGATTTGCTTTTGTAGTGGTTTTCTTTCTGAATTTGTATGGCTTTCTGAACCATGGATATACAAGTATCCCAGGGAACCTACTTTTGCAGAAGTGTCCCCACCCCACATTAGAACACAAGTACAGATTCAAAAGCAATCATTTCATGCCATCTGTAGCGAGGTATCAATAACTGACAGTTAATGTAGCACAGCTTACAGTTTTAATCAAGGCCATGTCTAATTGAAACATATTTAAATTATAATACACAGTGCATAGGTTTGAAACTGTTCTTTAACGTCCTGTAGTCAGAAATGCCTTTGCTCACATTTAGTTCATGCCATGATGATTTGTTTCATCAGTATTTTGTCCGCTGTCAGTATTTGACATAAAAAAATATGGTTAAATATTCAATGTGTGCAATATTTTTCACCTTGTCATTTTGATAGCTTAGTTAACTAAATGTTTAATGTGGGTTTGGTTAACTCGATTATATACAATTTACATTTGGACACCCATTATATACACCATGAAATCTTAGTAACTTTCCTTCATATATACAAAAATATTGCCTTGAAGTGTAACTGTAAGGATGTTGCTATGAGTGACTGTCAAACAGAAAATCAACATGCCTGATAAAGTAGGGTGTGTTGAAAGTGTAGCATCTGTGGGAAGGCATTATCATGTCAGTGGCCAANAAATGAATGAATGAATGAGTGGTTCTCATGTCAGAACAGTTAAATGAAGTCAAGCAGCCATTAGGACTAGATAAGACTGGATGACACTGAACCTGTGGATGCCCCTGAGAATAGGTGTAGCAGTTAGCCATACAGTAGTAAAGAGAGGTATGGTGCAGTATGTTACATGA